CACATCATCCCTCACCACATGATCACATCATCCATTACTACTGCATCCTTCATCACTGCATCCCTCAGCACCACTGCATCCCTCAGCACATGATCCCTCAGTGCCACTGCATCCCTCAACATCACATCATCCCTCACCACACCATCCCTCACCACCACTTCATCCCTCATTAACTTCATCCCTCTTCACATGATCCCTGATCATCACATCATCCCTCATCACCACTTCATCCCTCATTATCACTTCTTCCTTCATCACTGCATCCCTCATCACTACTGCAATGTGTACCCCACCAGCGTGGGAGGGAGGTGCTCAAGGCCACCCACCTGGTCTCCCTGTGCTCTGGGTGCCCTTCGATCCACCCCCCACAGTAGAGTAATCCTGACATGTAAATGGGGCATGTCACTTCTCTGTAAACCCCAGAATGGCTTTCTACAAAGGTGGGTAAAATCTAAACACTTGGCCATGTCCCAGGACCAGCCCTGGACTCCACCTGCTCCCCAGGCTCATTGCACATATTGTGTCTGTTCACTTAGAGTTTCAAAACCTCTTTTGTGTGTATCACTCTCAGCCCCACTTTGTGAACAGCTCCTTGTTAACCTTCAAGTGCCCTCCACAGACTGGCATTCCCTGATCACCTCATCCCGTTAATTCTTCCCACTGAGTCTGGACTTTGCCTCACACATCCTATTTACACTGTACCTTGCTCTGCTGACTTCCCCTGAGGGAAGGGCTCATGTTGAATTTGCTCATCAATCCACCCCTAAAACTCTGTGCAATGCTCAAAGCACAGAACCCAGAAAACGCACATCCATCGGGTCGACTGTGACTCACAGGAGAACCGCCCGATGGGGCTTCCAAGGGTGTGATCTTTACTGAAGCAAAATGCTTCATCTACTCCCCCAGGGCAGCTGTGGGCTGGAACCCTGGACCTTCTGGTTAGCAGCTGAATGCTATGATCACCTAACCATTCAAGAAATAGGGTGGTGGTTTGGGTTCCCCCCCCCCCATTTAAGAAAGAGTCTGGGAAGGACTACACATGAAAGCAGCACATTAGTTATAAAGGAAAGCGGCAGAGTCGTTATAAAGTGACATAATCAGCTCAACAACAACCTTCCATCTCCTCCAGTTGCTGACCAGTCCCTCACATGAGCCTCCACATCCTCTCTGCTGTGGGCTCCCTGCTGTCTGAGGTCAGCACCTTCTGCCCCCAAATCCCAGCCCCCTGCAGGTCCCTGGAAGCACCAGGCTTCCGAGATGCTCTTCCTGCACCAGCGGTGGCTCCGTGGCTACCTTTTCAGAATGTAGATGCTGCCATTGCGGCAGGCGGCAGCAAGCCGGAACTCCACGTCAAACTGGCCCGATATCTCCAGGAACACAGGGACACTGGGAAGACTCATCTGCAAAAAAAAGAGGCTCTAAGAGCCTGATATCTCTGGTACCCCAATCCCATCCTGCCCTGTAACTACACCGTTGAGTTAGTTCTTGGTCTAAAGTTCCCAACCCTTCACTCACACACTCTGGTCACAGTTCAAACTTGGACAATTTTTCTGGAGGAGCCTTGCCTGATGCCAACACCCTCTGATGTCCCTTCCAGGTAGGAAATCATTCTGGGAAGAGATCTAGACCAATCTGTGAAGACGTCTGAGCAAGGAGGTCTGTGGCAGTGTGTTAATAACAGTGAAAGTGTGAATAAGACTGAGAGGCACAAGAGACCAGGTTTCTTGCGGTTCTGCAGATACACTAGAATCTGCCAAGAGAATGGAGCAGGGTGTATGATCCTCTAACACATCCTGCTTTTGTTAGAAAGCAAAGTTGCAAAAATGTGTCTAAAGGTGAAATCCACAAGGAGATGTGACACAACTTTAACAGCAGATATTGAAGGTGGCAAGTTTTCTGGACATGTTTCTTATTATCTACATTTCCTCGCTTTTACAGTGAATGGGCCTTGCTAAGCAGTAACTAGAGCCCAGGGTGGGAAGGTCTGCTGTCGGCCTTGGGCTGCCAGGACCTGGCCCACACTGACCTTGGTCAGGACGGTGAAGGCCTCAGGGTCCAGCACCAGCAGCTCCTTGTTCTCAGTGCCCAGCACCAGGCAGGACACAGCGTCCTCGTCGGCCAGGTTCTTCTTCAGAGTGGTCATGGTGGTGATGACAGTCTGTGGAAGGACCCAGAGGTCACCCTGGGAGCCCAGGCCTTCCCACTGGCCAGCCTCTCAGACACTCCCACAAGGTGGAACGAGGGAATAAAGAAAACAAAGGGGGAGAGGAAGACTCAGAGAGGAAGACAAGAGATTCCTATGCAGAGGTGTTTATTGGAGCAAACCTCCACTAACAAGACAACTGCTTTTGTCAACTGCAACCTTTGCATGTGTAAAAAAAGTCATTTAGAGTCATTTTTTCAATGGTATGGGAGATGTTTCTAATAAATTTAAAAACAAAACCAAACAACCAAACAAGAAGTAGGTGCAGCTAGCTACTTATTCTGCTGAGAATCCCAGTTTAATGAACACAAGAATAGAGAAACACATTGGAAAGCTCAACTCTTAAATTCAGACGCAGGTCCTTGCCAGGTAATGCGATCACAGAGGTGTCCCACCTCTTCCTTGTGTTTTTCTGTAGCTTCTCCACTGGGCACATGTTCCTTCTGTGTGTACCATCAACCAGATCTGACTGGTACAGGAGGAGACTGTCCCTCCTTTTCCAGCAGAGCATCTGGTGGATTCGAACTGCATACCTCTGGGATTGCAGTGCAGCTTCTTGCCACTAGGCCATCAGAGCTCCCCTACATGTTCCTTTTGTAATTGTAGTTGGAAGAAACAATAAAAGGGGAGGATCCTGTTCTAGGAATCTCAGGGAAATCGCTTCTTGTTGTTGTCGTTGTGTACCATAGAGTCAGAATCGACCCACAGCTGACCCTCTGGTGGGGTTTCAGGGGCAGTTAATCACACGCGAGGAGATTGCCCATCCTGCTCCCGCGGAGCAGCCGGTGGCCTTGAACCGCATGCCTTTGGGGTTGCAGGGCAGCTTCTTGCCACTAGGCCACCAGGGCTCGTGAGGTGCCATGTAAAGCCCACTGTGGCTATCTCCGGGTAATGAGATTAATCAAGAATTCTCCTTTAAAACTTAGTTTCCAAATTTCTTTTAATGAGAATGTGTTATCTTTACCCTCATTAAAATACAAGTTATACTTAAAAAGGCTGTCCCTGTCAGCTGGAGGTCTGGAAAACCCCCAGCTTTCGCACCATCTACGTGGGCTGTGGGCTGGGAGGGAAACTACAGAGTGAAGTGTGCTGGGTTTGGGCTCAGCCCGCTTTACCACTGAAGCTGTGGCTTTTGCAGCAATGGCGTAAACAGCTGCTACAGGGAAACAGTGCGCTACCTGCCGTCGGATGGTCTTGGACTTGTGCTGGTTCACGAACGCCTCCATCTCACTCAGCTCCAGCTGTAGAAACCTGTTCACATGAAGGGCCAGCACCTGGCACCTGGGACCTGCACAGGCTGGCCGGCCACCCTCCCTCGCCCCTCCCCGTGGCCTTCCTTACCTGAGTGACTGCACAGACAGAGGCACCTCAGCCTTCTCCCTGCAAGGAGGGGGTCACCACAGCACTTGAGAGAGGAGTAAGGCACAGGTGTGCAGTGAGACTCAGACCTACGATATGTGACCCTGGGAAAGTTGTGTAGCCTTTCTGAGGCTCAGTTTTCCCCATCTGAAAAATGGGGCACACTGAGAAACTGCCCCAAAGGAAGAGGTCCTGAACTTGTGATGATGTAACAGAGACAGGCTTCAAGAGGTAGGTGAGGTTGGTCTGAGGGGTTGCTATCAAATGTGGATGATGGCCCCTCAGACTGCCCCTACAGCCACGTAGCTGGAATTGACCGCTATCTGTGAAGAGTGACAGCAGGAAGAAAACTGCCAGGAAGTTAAAGATCAGGTCCTTTGTGAAAGTTTATAAATAAAATCACCTCATGTCCACAAGCTACTCTGAGGATATCCCCTCGGACAAAACCATTGTTAACCAGGATATATTCAGAGACTCTGCTCTTAAATGCAAGGCGAGGCAGAAGCCAAGGTCAAGTTTGAGGAGAGGTACAAGACAGGCAAAACCAAGTGGTTCTTCTAGAAACTGAGATTTTAAATTTTCTATTTCAGTCTTTAAAAAATACTCCCCTCACCTTAACCCCCCCAAAAAAATAAAAAAAGAGGTAGGTGGGCTCTCACCGGATCCCCTCCAGCATCTCCTTCAGTGTTAAAGGGTCGATCCGGTCCTGTGACAGCAGAAGAACAGAGCCCATGAGCTGCAGTCCGGCCCTGGCCCATACCCCGGGAAGGCATGCCTTCAGGATGCCCATGCCCACGAGACCACTGTCCCTGCAGCCTGCCCTGCCGCACTGAGCCCCAGGCTCAACTGAGCACCCACACACATCACCTGTTTTATCACTGATCCCCAAGGCACCTCTCACTATTGCTTCTAGTTCTCCCTCTTCTCTGGGGGCCCCTTGGCTTCTCTGGTTTTACCTCCCAAGACGGTGGGTGGGAGTATGACTAGTGCCAAGGATCCTCTGAGCTTAGTTTTCCAAACAGCTGGCCAAATGCCCACCTGGTGCTGCTGTGCAGAGCCCCACACAGCACCTTGCCCTGAGGCGCCACCACAGCCGCTGGGGAAGGGGGGCTGGAATCCCCTCACGGGAGCTCACCCACCCTCCTAGGAGATGCCACCCTTGCCCTCGCGCTCTGACTCCTGCATTGTTTACCTCCTTGGCCTGGTTCCAGAGGTCTTGTTCCAGGGAGTTTGGAGGCAACTGGGGCAGGGTGAACTTGAAGTAGGGCCTGAGATTCTTATAGACGTAGACACAAGGGCCCGAGGCGAGAGCCAGGGCTGGCGTCCGGGGCTCATGCTGCTCCATGAGGAAGGTGACGACGGCGGCCGGTAGGGCAGGCAGGGCGTTCTCAGTCAGCACCGCAGCCCCTTTGAGCACCTTCAAGCGGGGCTGCCGTCCGTCATGGCCAAGGTCCCCCACCACCAGCTGCAAACAAAAGCTCATCTCAGGCTCAGGAACCAAAGACCCTTCCATGGAGCCCACCACAGGCCACGGCCTTATGCTGGTGCACACCAACTCATTCCCACACCAGTGTATTCCGAGGGTGGGGCCAACACTTAGCAATCAGGCTTGCAAGCTGTGTGACCACAGGAACATTACTTAGCCTCTTTTCTCCCCTACAAAATGAGAGTATCTACCTTAAAGCACTTGTGATGAAAATAAGAGAAATGCTATGGAAGGTGGTGCTAGGGTGGGGTTGAGAGGCCACTGTCACTTTCTTTAGGCATCTTGGTGACACTGTAGGTTAGGCGTGGGCATGCTACCGGAAAGGTCAACAATTCAAACCCCCCAGCCACTTGTGGGATGAAAGATGAGGCAGTCTCCCTCCTACAGATTCTCAGCCTCGGGCAGCCTCGGGGCAGTTCTACTTTGCCTAAGGGATCGCTGCATGTTGACCTGATGGCAGTGGGTTTGGCTGATTTCATTCCTCGTTTGACAAAAGTTTCTTCAGGGTCTGCTGCCCGTCAGATGCTCTTTAACGGGCTAGATGCTAATGCTGTATTTTTGAGGCCTACCTTCCAAATGAGGTCAGAATGGATGTACAGATCAAGGTGCAGAGTGGCCCGTACCCTGTGGATGCAGAGCAGAGAAGCCAGATCCTCTGGTCTCAGTTCTCCACCTTTTGATGCTTCCTCCAAGAGGCAGTGGGTGCCACGCAGGCCCGTTCTCCTGAGTGAGGTGCCAGGCCCCTCGGCAGCTTGTTCCTGCCTGGATTCCCATCATGCTGTGTGCTCCAGCCAGAGTGAGGGCTGTGCACTGAGTGAGCAAAGCACAGTGGGCCAGGTAGCCCACCTGAAATTCTACATGCAACCGTACATGGTACCAACAGCTCTGGTGGTGCTGCGGTTAAAGCACGTGACTGCTAACCAGAAGGTTGGCAGTGTGTAGCCACCAGCTGCTGCCTGGGAAAGGGAGGAGGCAGCCCACTTCCATAATGTTTTGCTGCTTTGGAAACTTTGTGGGCAGTTCTGCTCTGTCCTGTCGGGTCACAGCGGGTCAGAATTGACTGGACAGCAGCGGCTTTGGTTTTTGATAAAACTGAAAACTCTTCAGTCCCTCCAGATTGTCACACCCTGCCCCCACCCTGTACTGCCCAGCAAAGCATCATGGCACCTTAATGGCATTACAAGGATCTGTGTTAGGAGGCCCAGCAATATTCTGTTCTGTTATCTGTCATCAGTAGGATTCCTTCATTTTCCACAGAAAAATAAAATTCATGTCAACTGTTTGTGGTTTTGTGGGGTTTTTTTTGTTTTGTTTTGGGTTTTTTTTTGTTTTGTTTTGTTTTGTTTTTTTCCACAGAGCAGTGAATGCCAGATCACACCCAGCCTTTTTGGAGACATAAAAGTAATCTCACTTTGGGACATTATGCTGAGTGAATTATCTCAGTCACAAAAGGACAAATATTGCATAGGGCCACTGTTAAAAAACAGGACTGACATCAGGGTTGAGAGAAGACAGAAAAGGAGGAGAGGAATGATGTCTATCTCATTGAAACAGATGAAGGAGAGAACTGTTTAAAAGGGGTATGTGAATGGGTATTCTTGTCATTACAGAAGTCCAGAGTGAAGGATGCACAGTGGAGTGGACTTGGGGGGAGGGATTGCATAACAATGAAAGAGTTTTTCTTTTCAAGGAGAAGAGTGAATTTGGGGAGGGGGTGTGTAGGAAGAAAAGTGCAACAATGAATGACTGGAAACCCTAAGTCTCTGTAAACGTTCATTAAAATTAATTGGGGGGGGGGAGGAATCTCACTTTGGAGAAGCTTCCTCGCCTGCCCTGAGATCTCTCTGCTGGCTGATATACGCACCTTGTACTCCCCGTCCCCGTGCAGATCTGCCAGCGCTGGAAAAAATATCCAAAAACACAAAAAGGCAAATAAGCCAAGGTGCCAGGTGCCAAAACATTAACGCTCGGGGCCCCGCGATTTAGCCAAGGCTCGTGCTCAGAAGCCCAGCTTTCCGATGCAGAGACTCACCCAGGCAGGCGGAGAAGGTGTGGACGTTGGCCATCGGGTCGTAGTGCGCGTCCAGCCATTTCGAACCGGCCTCCCTGCTGGGAGAGGGGTGAAAGCGAGTTGGGAAAGGAGGGCAAAGTGGAGGGAGCCGGTCCCTGAGCACCGATGCAGAGTGACAGGCGCACACGCACTCGCGCCTCCCCAGGTGCTAGGAACCTTCCAGAACCACCGGTGCTTCGCGGAAGCCGCAGGGACCCGGATCTCGGAGACCAGGGCACCCTCTCGGCTTGGGGGGGGAAGGAGGCTTTCGCTTCACCTCTCAGCTCGCCGGCTCTCGGAATCCCCCGAAGGCGCAGCCGCCATCTTCGCAGGCGTCGCCGTGGCAACCGCCGTCACGTGACAGCCAAGCGCTCCCCGGCGCTGCGGCCCGAGCGCAGAAGGTTCCGGTCGCGAACGTTCCCCTACCAGGCCCGCAAGGAGGATGCGCCCACTTCTGCACCTTCAGCCCGGATTCTGGGTGCCATCACCCCAGATCATGAGATTTATTTTTTTTTCTCGTTGCTACTCAGAACAGCCTTCTGCGTCCTGCGTTCCCTGCGACAGGGCCCTCAGGGTGTACATCTTTATCATGATGGATGGAGGAGAGATTGAAATTGTTAATAACGTCATCTTTCTTGGATCCACAATCAATCCATGATACCAGAAGTCAGGAGATCAGAAGGCGTATTGCATTGAAAAAGTCTGCAGTTAGGAACCTCTCCAAAAATTACTAAGGAGCAATGATGTCAGTTTGAGGACTAAGGAACACCTGTTTAAGGCTTTGCAATCACGTGCTATGTAGCTGAGAGCTGGACAATGAATAAGGATGATAGAAAAATTAGTGCCTTTGAGTTGTGCTGTTGGAGTCCCATGGACTGTCAAAAGAACTTTTACTTAGCCTTAGTGCAGAGAGACTGTTCCTTAGAAGCAAGATAAACCTCACATACTTTGGACATGTTGCTAGGAGATGATAGTCATTGGAGAGGGACATCATGCTTGAAAAGGTCGAGGGCCGACGAAAGAGAGGAAGAAACTCAGCCAGATGAATTGATACGTTAACTGGAGCAATGGTTGGGTTTTTTTGTGTTTTTTTAAAATTTTTTTTGTGTGAGTGTACCATCAAATCAGATCTGACTGGTACAGGAGATTTTCCCTCCTTTTCCTGGCAGAGCATCTGGAGGATTCGAAATGTGCACCTCTGGAATTGTAGTTGCAGCTCCTTGCCACTAGGCCACCAGAGCTCCCCTTGGAGCAATGGTTTTGAGTGTGTGTCAGGGACTGTGATGTTGGCACAGGATAGAAGAGTGCAGGTCCATTGTTCATAGCGTCACTATGAGTCATACTCAACTCCACTGCATCTAACAACAACAGCTTCCAGGTTAACCCAGCAAAGAAGATGTCATGTCTTCTTCCTGCCTGCCTGACTTGAAATCCAGGCTCAGGGAAATGCACAGGGAGATTAAACGTCAGTGAAAGGTCCTAGGATTCTGGGGGTTTCTTTCTTTTTTTTTTTTTTGAGTGGGAGGGTGGATGACCCCTGGGATCTTTTTAAAATGCAAGAAATACCAAAGGGGCCGTGGCATTGTTAGGAGATGGGTGCTGGCTCTTCCGTTAGACTCCTTGTATCCAGCCTGAACCGAATCAGCATCCGTCCAGTTCATGGAGAGAGGTACAGACCCTGACGAACCAAGGGAAGCCTCCACTGTATCTGGACCCTGACCCATTGGCCCTATATTCCCCTTATTTGCAACAACCAATGGGACCTGAGGACTACTCTCCAGGACCTATGGGGGACCCTACCCACTTCCTCAAGGATATTCCTATCAAGGATACCCACACTATGACTGGCAGGGTGGACCTCCTAAAACCACATGTGGTAGAGGACCAAAGAAGGGATGACCTGGGCTCCTCCACCTGCCTCACAGCCTGCAGGACTGCCCTCTGTTGCTGCTGTCTCAGGGACATGCTCACCTGACCAGCTCAGCCTTCCTACCCTGCCAGACTCCACTGCCATTGATGAGTGTGCCTGCCCTCATCCCCTGATTGTTGTATCAAATGACTGGCTCTGCCCAGGCACCTCTACCTTCAACTCAGTGGGATTCTAGATTAGCAGGCGTTGCTGCTCTTATTTCAGTGACTTGATCTTTTTAATGTTCAAAACCCAGTTCTTACTGGACTCTGAGAAGAATGGAAATCCCAGAACACTTGACTGGGCTTATGCGAACCCTGTACTTGGACAGTGATCAGAACAGAGCAAGGAGACATTGCATGATTCAAAAGCAGGGAGAGTGTCTTCTAGGGATGTATTCTGTCTCCATACCTTTTCAGTCTGTATGCAGAACAGCTCATCTGAGACGCTGAGCTGTACAAGGAGGAATGTGGCCTCAGCACTGGTGGAAGATTCATCAACAACCTGCACTGACACAACCCTGCTGGCTAAAACTGAGAAGGATCTGAAAGCACTTGCTGCAGAAGGTCAAGGACTGCAGCCAAAGATTCTCACCACTGGGCCAATTGGCAGCATTATTATGGATGGTGAAGAGACTGAGATTGTTAACAGTTTTAGTTTGCTTGGTTCCACAATCAACACTCTTGGTACCAGCAGCCAAGAAATCAAGAGACGAATTGCACTGGGAAAGTCAGCTTTCAGGGACTCCCTAGAGTACTAAAGAGCAACGATGTCAGGCTAGAAACTAAGGTGCACCTGATCCAGGCCAGAGTCTTTCCAATTGTGTGCTATGTGTCAGAGAACTGGACAGTGACTAGGGATGATAAAGAATTAATTCCTTTGAGCTGCGGTACTGGAGAAAAGTGTTGAATGTACCATGGACTGCTAGAACCAACAGGTTCATCCTGGAGAGGGTGAAACCAGTCTGCTCCTCGAAGACAAGGATTCTAAAGCTTCGTCTGACATACTTTAGACATGTTGCAAGGAGGGACTAGTCCTTGGAGAAGGACGTCAAGCTTGGGAGGGTGGAGGGACAGCGCAGGAGGGGAAGGCCCTCTATGAAATGGATCAATTCAGTGACTGGGGTAACGGGAGTGGGTGTGGCAGAGACGGCGAGGTTTGCACAGGACAGAGCAGAGTTTAGGGCCCTTGTATACAGGGTTGCTGTGAGTTGCAAATGACTCGATAGCACATTAACAACAACAACCGGTCTTTAATGAATGTGCCAAATGATTTGCCATTTGTTTTGGCCAAAGGGTTATGATATGTGTATTTGTAACTTTAAAATTAATACCTAATACACCACTGAATGATTTTTTTTTATTATTTTTTATAATGAATGATTTCTTGGCTATCACTTTGTACCAAAGTTTAAAAAAAAAAGCCAAAGGAAAAAAATCACGTGTCTACTAATGTGACTGTGTAAATAATGTGGAAGCTAAGTGACCCTTCTGTGTTCTCCTGACCCTTGGATGCCAGAACAATTAAACATTCAACTGCCGAATGAAAATAACCCACCCAGAGGTACCTCAGAAGAAAGGCCTGGCTCTCTGCTCCCGAAAGCTCACAGCCCATGGTTGCTCTGTAACTCATGGGGTTACCATCAAGTGGCATTGAGCCGAGGGCAGCTGGTTTGGTTTTAGGTTTTGTTCCCACCTCAGGCCTTGATGCCACAACCCTTCAGGAGAAGATAAGAGATAGGAAGGAAAACACACACTGCAAAGACAGTGGTGGTTTCCTAAGATTTATTTTTCTGGTTATAAAATTAATACATGAAGAGCTCTGCATTTGGCAAGAAGGTTGTGTGCTGGCTCTGTCATGTACCACCTGCATGATCTGGCCACATCACATAGCTCGTGTTTCATCTAAAACAGGATAAAAAGCCCTATCTTGCCCACTCCCTGGCTGGCGCTGCAGCTCACACATGATCCCAGAGGGGAAACATTTGGTAAACAAACGGGAAGGCTTAGTGCCACCATCCTCAGTCCAGGTAGCACCAAGGTCCAGCTCTAGCCTCTCACACTGACCCTCTGACGAGGGTCACGCAGCCTTGGTTTGATGTGGAGTTGGGGGAAGGGCCACATGAATCTTCCTCAAGCCTGGCCAGCCGGGACCTCACTGAGGCTCTTCCAGAAGCGGGCATCGGCCGCAGCTAGCTGGGTGAGGATGTCCTCCAATTCCGGCCCATCCTCCGGGAAGCGCTCAGAGAAGGATCGGATGAGGCCGGCAGCTGAGGCTTCATACTCAAGGAGCTGGACTTCTGAGCCTGCAGAGGAGATGATGGGGAGAAAAGAGTGACGGGGAGAGGTTAGAAAAAAATGCGTGGAATCATAGCAGTCACGGGGCAGACAGCTCTAATGGAATTCTAACCTCCAGAATCACTCTAGGTCTGTGACCTCACACAAGCCTCACAATACACCAGCTCCTCATTTATCAACAATCTCATTATCCAACATTTCACATTTGCTCCAGGACTTCCAATCTGTCTGGTTCTCTGCTACCTGCCCCCTCACTAACAGCGTGAGGTCTGGCTGCTCCCCTAGCCTTATCCTGCCAGTCGATTCTGAAACTTATTCTACCAAAATGACCCATGGCATGCAGTGCCTAGGGGTAGTTGCCAAGACTGTGGCCTGAGCTTTGGCATGAGGACCACTGCAGGAAAGAAGAGAAGGAGCAAATGGTTACCCTAGACAGCCTTCCAAGGTGGTCTCCAGAATTCCTATGTACTCCCATGAGCCCCTGCGTGTCCTGTCAAAGGAAGCATAAAAAGCCTGCTACCTTCAAGGCGAGTGTTGGGCTGAACGATGAGTTTCCGAGATTCCTTGCGCAGAAGCACTGTGTCCCTGAGGGTGAGGAAGCACTCAGGGGGTGCATCCGTGACAGCTGCGTACCCCTCGTACAGGGCCCGCCCTCCGGCCACATCCCCTGTGGATTTCAGCACCTGCGGGAAGGAAGGAAGGAGGCAGTACATCCAATGGGGCCTTAAACTGTACCCAGAGGGCTCTGTCAGGGCCACAGCTGCCTCTGCCCTGCCTGGAGAGTCTTCACAATGCTTGTCTCTGCCACTTTCTGGCTGTGCAACCTCAGATGAGTTACTAGACCACTCTGAGCTGAGGTTTCTAAATGGGAATAGTACAGCGTGTGTTAAGTGAGAAATGCAGATGAACTGAGTGACACAGGAAGCATCAAAAGAAGACGGGAATATACAGTGTCTGCACAACAAAAAAAGGAATGGTCAGAGTTTTTAGCACACATTAGGAAAAACCCCACTGCCACTGTGATGATTCCCACCCGCAGTGACAATGGACAGAGAAGACCTGTGCCATGGGGTTTGCAAGGCCTTCACAGAAGCAGACCACCACGTCGCTGTCCTGTGGGGCA